AAAGAAGTTGAACGGAATCCACCCTTCATCTCATGAGTGATGCGACGCGCAAGAGGATGTTGAGCGCACCAGTTGAACCCCGCGGTCAGAACACCAAAGTTCTGAACAAAACGAAGGTAGCCTTGACCCAAAGAAAAAGACGACTTGAAGAGTTTCGAGAACACTATCACATGCTGGTGAATACCTAGCGATGGAGTCCGTAGCAAGAGCATACATGACGATGCAGACCTATAGCGTCAATAAGCAAAGGTGAGACTCCGGTGACCGCCTTACCGTGAGTTTGATAGATAACGAATCCTGTGGCCTACTAGCAAAGTAGATCCATGTTTGCAGGAGGCCCATCCCGTAGAGAATGGTCTCGGCGAAGAGAGACACAAGCCATGCGCCGTAGGTCGAATCTAAAGGCGGAAGTTGTGGGACAAGAGCTGACATTGGTAGTAATTAGTAGTCCAAGCAATGAGCGCGTTGTATGGAGTCAGTGTAAGAGAGCTTGACAGAATGAAAGTTTGCATGCAGCCCGCCTTATAAATGTGTTGCGCGGCTGCCTGATGCCGCTTAAGCGAGAGCTTGTTCGACGATATCCCATTTCTTTGTGGACCCTGAATGTGCGAACCTGAGGCTTCGAAAGCGTAATAGACAGACACAAGACTTCAATATTCAATGTTGACCCAAACTCACGGAATGGTGAAGTAATTAACTTTTTAGGGCCAGATTGGAGCCAACTTTCAATTTTTGCCACTACAAAATACAAATAGTGCCAAACAATCTCGGAGCGTCGAATGAGCTCCACCGTACGGCTACACTTTTGAAATCAGCTCAGTTGCAAGTACTGAGGCTCCTATAAAGACATTCTCGTCTGTTGTATAGAGGGCTTGGAAGACCTGGGTCTGGATCTTGTTGAAGGTCTTGAGCGAGGACGAATATAGAGCCTCGAACTCTTTGTTGTGGAGGGCCAACAAGGGTAATGCTTGCAGATCGAGTAGTGGCAGGTGGAGGGAATTTTTTAGGGAGAATGAGATGGGCAACCGAGTTTCTGCGTGCAGTGCAGCCATGACCACCGATCTGAGATGACCGAGATGTAATGTTTGGGCGGCACGGGCTCGAACATGGGCACGGTTAGTGTCACATTGTGCTCGTCTTCAGCGTAGCGCTGACGCAAGCTAAACGAGTCACGGAAAAGAATGGTGTCGCCTTCCACATCTTCGACCACCATTATGAGCACCACCATGGATCTTCTTGTCCCATCGGAAGTGAGGATAACGGACAGGTCACTTCGAAGGAGCGAGCGGGTGATTGGCTGGATTTGAGCCGATAATCTGAGAGGATATTAGCGCGAACAAACAAAAGCATGCATCAGGAATGACACCAGTCGATGCACCAGTCAACCGGATGCCGATGAGGTGGTGTCTGTTGTTTGATCAGAATAGGAAGCCAAAGTTATTTACAAACTCACCAAGTCGAAGTAGCGACACCAAGGCTGCGAATGAATTCAGCGAATGGATCTATGGTAAAAGAAATCAACTCACAAATTACATCTTTGAATTGTCGCAAGGGAGTCCCACCTAGCCAATCAATCAATTAGAATGCAAAAGAGCGAAAAAAAAACAAGCACTGACATGCGCTTGTCGACCATTTTGCAGAGGTCCAAAGCTGCCCTGGCGGGAACGGCCCAACCGCGCTTCAAGCAGATCTCGAACATGGCACGCAATATACTGCATAGAAATCAGATTTGGGTTGGACGTTTTAAAAAAGCGCCTACCTCCTTGCAGACTGCTGCACAAAAGCCATAACGAGCACAAAACCTAGCATGTCGAATAATATCAGTATGGCGGGACAAGCGATTGTTTTTTGCTCGCCGTCCAGTCTCAACTGCGAGATGTACGCCTGTTGATCTTGGCAGCAGGCTCTTCGACGCTCTCTTTCACAGGGATAGGCACCCTCTCGAGAAGTTTAGCCAGCTCCAACTTTTCCTCTTGCCGAACGGGAAGGAGTTTAAATTCGTCTGACAACGCGAAAACGCGGAACAACTCGAGAGTCGACATCGTTGGCTGCAGATGCTGGCTGCATGTCATCATCGAGTTGTAGGTCCCATAGTAATACGACGCGATACGGCCAAGTTCAGTGCTTTGGAACCGGCCCGAGGACCGTTCGTACTTCAGCAGCTGGCATTTCTCCAACGGAACGGCAGGCTCGCTTTTGTATCAACCCTACGTCGTCATCTTGATAGTCGACACCGACCCCGTATAGCCCAGGCGATTTTTAACATCCGAACGTACCTTGAAAAAGTGCATCAGCTGGACAGTCAAAGATATATTCAACAACTCACAGATAGGTGTAACCCAGCCATTGGACGGCTTTGTCTCTGTTTCTGATCGTTCCGAGAACAATCTCGGCATTGAGGTTGTCGGCCAGCTTGGAGACGAATTGCGACTCGATTGGGAGCTGCTGATTCGACAAACTCAAGTAATATTGCAGCTCGAAGTGGTTTGTGATGATGATACCCTCGCGTACGCGTCATATTGCGGTCGACCGGCTCGACCAAGCATCTGCAGCACATCTTCCTCCTCTCGTAGGAAATCCAGCGTTTTTCGCGGTCCCAAGTGCGCTAAGAGAGAATGAGCATGCTTTATGACGATTTCACGCAAGCTACGCCCATCCAAATTGATGTCTGGAATGCATAGTACTTCCACCCCATCGCGTGCCTTGAACACTAACCCATCCCACTCTTGGAAGTCCTTGTACTCTGCTGGTGGAGATTTCAGAATGTGGCGGAAGAACTCGTCTTCCTGGTAGTCTAAGCGGTACTTGAGACCGTCCGGAAGTGGGATGCCCAAGTCGCCCCCAGTGACCACACCACTCAGATCTGGCTGGGTGGTATTACATAGTGTTGTGGAGCATGAGGAAGAGTTGGCTCTTGCTCGGTGCTCGGCGCCGATGTGGCTCGGCGTTTCTTATCGGGAGTGGCTGTCCTCTGTGACACGTCCATGCCTGCCATCTCCTCGACTAGTCCTTGTCCACCCTTGGCTGCCGTCTTTTGGGGCCCCCGTAGGTCCTCGTATCCGCCTTTGCTTCCGCCAGCCTCGACGACCGGCGTAACGCGCCCTCCAGAACCGCCGCCGCGCCTGTGTAGACTGTCAATGGGTTCGTGAGTTCAGCATCGCTGTCCTCTACCGGTGCGCCCCGCCTATCGCCTCCATCCACATCGTCCATGCTAACATATTCGCTTACAGCGCGAATTGTTCCGAAGGGTTTATCGCTGTAAATACGCGATAATGCATCTGCCAACACATTGGTTTCGCCTGGGATAGGGAATTACCGCAGTGGTCCCGAATCGGAAAGCGTAGGGATCGTGAAATCAAACTCATTCAAGATATCGAGCTATCGGTGCTGGCGTGGAGATATATTCTTCTGGCTCATGAGGTGCCCGAGGGCTCTGTGGTCCGTCGAATTGCGGAATCTTGCACCATGAAGAATGCCGCGGAAGCGCTTGAGAGATTCGACGATGGCGAGTAATTCCATTTCATGCACTGGGTAGTTTTGCTGTGCTGAACCAAATTTACCAGACCAAAAGGCGACTATTTTTGCAGTCTTCAAGTCATCACCTTGACTTACATACCTGGTCGCACCAGTGCAGCGTCCGACACCAAATTGATGGTTGGCGCGTTGTCTGAGTAGTCCAGCGACACGCGATGGTGCTTTCGCCGCCTGTGCACGGTATCTTTCACCTGCTCAAATGCCCGTTGCTCTGTATGACCCCATTTCCAGGTTGATTTGGCCCCAGTCAGCGGTGTCAGTATGTACTCCCATTGGGATTCGAATGCCATGGCAATCATCTGCAAGGTATACGACTGCACCCAAGAAACTCGCGAGTAAGTCCTTGTTCGTTGGCGTCTTCCAGTTCGTTCCTGACTCCAGTGTGGGTCCAAATATCCTTCTCGTCGATGATATGGCCCAAGATCTTGAGCTGTTCGGCAAAGAACTGCATTTTATCGGCACTCAGGTATAGTTTTTCCTTCCGCAATATGTCGAAAATGATTCTCACGTGTCGGATGTGGTCCTCGACAGTGTCGGAATATAACATGATGTCGTCCAAGTACACATCCATGAATACTCCCAAGTATGGCGCGAAATATATGGTTCATCAAAGCCTGACACGTCGCTGGCCCATTCGTGTCGCCTTGCTGCAAAACCAGGCTCTCCAGTGTCCCGTCCGGTGTACGCGATACGTGCTCTGGTACTACATGGATTTGCTCATAGAAGTCCTTGCCGTCAACCAGTGTTCGATATGGGTGGCGGGCAACGTTTCGGAGGATCGCGTGGATATCGGGGAGCGGTGCCGCAATCTTCACGGTATTGTCATTCTGTTCCCGTTTATCGATTACCGTCCGTATCCTGACCACCCCATCCTCCTTCATAGGCTTTGGCAGGATCAACATTGATGATGCATTGTGTCCTGACGCCATTCGCCATCATATATAGGTGTTTTTCTTCTCGCGCTACACCTCTTTTAACGCCTCTGGGCATTTCGAAGGCCGCCAACGATACACCTTAGACTCATCTTGAGTGGGATCATATGATTGACCGCGCGAAATGGTAGCAATGCCGTTTCCGTCTGGGCATAGATCTGCTGCCTCTTGCTTCAGCATCGCCCGTAGCTTAGTAAGATCTTGCTCAAATATGTCCGCTGCCGCTGATGTTATTGCTGGATCTCAGGTCGGTGCATTTCGAGCCGCTTATCAGAACCCACAACTACTCGTGTCGGATTCAACCCCAGCACAACTTTATGTTGGAAGATGAACGGTGTACCAAGAATTAGATCATAGCTGTTAGCAACATCCAGCCGCCGTTCGCAGTCTATGCCTCACGGTAGTTGACGAATTGATCTTGTTTCTCATATAAGCAGGCAAATCTAGGATAAAATTTTCCTTTTTTGGTACATTGATTTCAGGTATAATCTTTCGAAATGGGGGCCATTTATTCCCAAACTCCCGCAATGACACCTATTTCTCAGTTTTCCGACATAATCTGATAGGACTTGCTCTCGACCCCCCAAACACGTTGTCAACCACGAGCAGGGCCACCTCCGGCACCGTATTAAACTGTGGATATTGTCCTATCATCACAAACTTGCCAAGAATTCTTGCCCTGCTGAATGTTTTCAAAAACGAGCAGTACAGAGGGCCGTTGCGACCTATTTCAAGCTGATGTAGCAAGAGCAAGTCAAAAATATCGCACATACGGCCGGCAAAGAAAACGCGAACAGTTTGGGGGAGCTGAATAAATGTGTTGATGTATGCTTCAGGTTTGTTGAGCCAATGTTATCTGTGAGAAGCAGCACGAACCATTTATCTTAGCTTCTGTTTGATCGAGTCCGCTGACATCGACAAAGGAATAGCCTTCATGTGAGATGCTAAATCCCTAAGTCAAATATCAGTTAGTGGGCGTATTTCATAGACAAATTTGACCAAGTCCAACTTGAACCCACCGTTAAGAACTGGTTGAATTGTTGGATGGTGCAAATACCCCTTGCTCTCAGTTGCCCTATGAGTCGCCGCCGATTATAGAAGACCGTCATAAAGTGAGAAACTGAGCCGTGATATGTTGCCAAGTCGTTGATCTGAAGATAGGCTACAATATTTTGCGTCAAAACAGTAGCTGTATGAACACCGCCATCGAAGCCATGGCTCAAGTGGGAGAATAATAGTTCGTCCCCATTGATGACAGTGAAGACAAGCGGCAGCTAACATAATATTGCAGCTTTCAGTCAACCAAGCTACAGGCTTAGACCACACTACTACACACCGAGATTTTGAACAGCTCTGCATGCACTGTGGACAGCTGCGACTGCTGGACAAGGGACAAAAGCTGTTGTTGGAAGATGACTTCGCGTTTTGCTGCGCTGCGGTCCTTCTCAATAAGTGGGCGGTAATGATAGTCAAGCTGACTGACCTCTCCTTTTCTATGAAGTGCTTTATGTAGGTCTCCTCCAGTTGTGTTCTTAACCAAGCGACCTGCTCCTCCAGGAGCTCGTTATGTGCATTCATCTTGCGCATCTCTTCTGTTTCTTCTGTAGATGGTGGTAGTGTTCGATGAATGCATTGCATACCATCTGAGTCATCTCTGATCTGGGGCACAGAGGACAACACATTGAGGAAGGACAGAGCTTTCTGGGTGTAAGCACCATCTTCTGGTGTTGTAGGCCGAGGTACCATGGACGATGCAACGAAGAGTAACTCAGATCACGTGCTATTTCTTTTTTTTTTTGAACACATGTAATTATTATAAGTAGCACTTAACCTGCATGGGTGGATCCCGAGAAAATAAATCTAATCATCTTGAACGAGCGGCCGTGTGTGCACCAAATTTTTTTAAATTATGTTCCATGCAGGCACGACGGACGTTTATCACACCGGATATGGTAAAATATCCCTTAAAGTAGAAACTGTCTTAGATTCTACCAGAATCTAGAACCAAATCAGCCTGTGGAGATTTGCCCAAAATATACCTTTTTGAAACTGAGAGTGATTTTAGTCAAATATATACCAGTTTTAGACAGTCTGAGATGGAAACTATCTGTGAGGCTGAAACCATTCCTGAAATGGTTAATATCTGCGCGCATATATTTGATCATGATATCACGCGCATCAAACGTGGCGAAACTGACAGTGAAATCCTTTGTTTCACTGTCAGTTTCAGCGTGGATGATACTAAGGAAATCAGCAGTGGAGAAATGCACAAAGATTCTCTTTGTTTCTATGTGCATTTCTCCACTGCTGAAACTCTAGGTTTACAGCACAATGAAACTATTCTTGAAATCTCGAGTTTATTTGTGCCAGAAATTGCAATTAAAACTATTAGTATGTACATTTCAGAAATTGTAGTAGAAACTATGCGTATATCAGCGACTTGCGAGTCAACCCGCGAGTCGACCCCAAGGGTCGGACCTCCGGGTAGACCCCAAGGTTGGAGTTTCTAGCTGGGACACGCGATTAGCGCGAGTGACAACGCAGTAGGGTCATTCCTACCTTACACGATCGAGGTGTCGACCGCGGTGGGCTGGGCCAGACCCAAGAGGCGTCGAAGGGTGGCGAGGATGGTCGCGAAACGCGAACGACGGTGAAGCGGCTGGGTTTCGCGTCAGCGAATGTAGATGAGTGGAGGGGGTCCAAACCTCGTTCAGGACGCGCGCCTCCGCGTGTGCACGACTTTGTACTCCGGGTAGATGGTTCATCTGCCCCATGTAAGTAAGCAGAGCTGAAAAAAAACGAGAACTGACCTTGTGGTTGTTGATTATGGTGTGGTGGTGGTTTAAGGCAAGGTGAGTTGTCGCATCGTCACAACTCACCTTGCCTTAAGTACTCCCATCGCCATCAACGATGACAACGCGTCATCGCTGGCCAAACGACGGACCGCGTACGATGGAGGGAGGGAGGGGAGAGTGTGGATGGGGAGGGGAGAGCGTGGATGGGGAGAGGGAGGGGAAAGGGAGAGGAAGGGCGGGACAACGTCGGACGCAAATGGGGTCTGCGAGAAACCTGACCCGCCCCGCGCTACTCTCCAACGCTCCACTGCCACGCGGCATTCGCGCCGTTCGCACCGTTCGCACCTTGCTTGTCGAGGTCGACGACGAGGTCGTTGTCGGCAAGCTCGACTTCGGCGTGGTGTCAAAGCCCGCTATCGTCGTTGCCCCTGCTGTCGCGGCCGCCCCCCGTCCCCATGCTGTGAGTTGTTTCTTGTTTGATTCTTGATTGCGCTGAGTGTTTGTGTAGTCGGTCGCCACCGTGGCCGTTGCGGCCAGCCAGGAGGTCGCGGATGTCTCCGTCAACGTTACCGCGCCCGAGGCGCCGGTTTGCTCTCTTTCCTTCGTTCAGGCCAAACTTCCTCAATCCGCGCCCCGCACCCCGGTTAAGCGCCGGTGGGGTCGCCTCAGCCGCAGCGCTTCAGGTCTAAATCTTCACGGCCACCAGCAGCAAACTCAGCCCGCCGGCGCACAACGACTCGGCCTCTCGCGCGGGATAAAGCTCGTCGGCGTACGAGCGGATCGTGGGCCGGCGCGCGGGCGGGTACTGCTGGGGGTTCATTGCTGGTTGCGGCTCATCGTTCGTGATTGAAGGGAAGGGGAGGGGGAACGTGAAGGGAGAGAGAGGTCGGTTGAGGAGAGAGAGAGAGGTCGGCTGGGATTGTCTGTCCTGTCACCCTGATTGTGCGACTTCTTCATTACTTTTCCCACTTCCCCTGCGCGACTTCTGCTCATGCTCTTGACAGGCTGCGACGCCGAGTTGCTTCTGCTCTTCTTATATTCATGCGAAAAGCCCGGCATCGACCCGCCCTCCCGATCATCGCCATTCCCGCCCTCATGCCCGACTTCGCGCATCTAACGTTGTTGGCGCAGTTTGAGAATTCTAAGTTGCAGTAGATGGCGCTGGGTTAAGCCAGAGCTTACTACTGGTAGTCCTTATTGTTGTCGTTCCCCTCTCTACCAGTCTACAACAAGCCAAGTCTCTTTCGTCACGAATGAGCCAGCTCAACCTCGGCTTGAAGGTGTTTATTCGCTAAGCACCGGTTACTGTGTTTCCCACTCGGAACGACGCGCCTCAGGCCAGTCGCCAAAATGGGACGGTCCCTGAAGTTTACTGCCGTTGATTGGACGCTGCTGCTGAGCGCGCTGGTCAAGTCAAGCTCATCGTTGGTGGTGAAGACGAAGTTCATTTGCGTTGTCTCCAGGTGAGTCGTTGTCGTTGTTCATTTGTGTTTTCTGACCGCTCTGGTTAGCGGCGGGTTGACGCAGCCGTTGTTACCACGAGAAGTATAATTTAAATCGACTAGCACGAGCTCCCCGCTGCACACGTCGTTCACTGGCGATGAGACCTATAACCAATCCTGCAAGCCGCAAGTACATCCAGCTTGACATCTCGAAGTCACTCCCATTCGAGCTGCACTTGTCTAATCACATTTCGTCTTCGTCTTCGGACATTTGTAGTCACTGCTGACAAGTTTCAAGCCCTACCGCAAAATCAGTCAGCAAGGTATCCCTATGCTAAACTGGTTGTTGTGGGTCAAATCATAGGATGAGATTATGCGGCACGGTTTCACACTTGGGAAAACAATGTACAGTTGCAATATTACTGTGGGGGGCTTTCAAAGCGAGGTCTTGACCGGAATTTTACTCCATACTCCAAATGCTGCACGCCGATATGCAAGACATGTCCTCGTCGACGACGACGATCTGAAGAAGTAGATTAGGCCGAACTCTAGAATGGCATGGTTCATGACACTCACTGTTGCTGTTACAGGACCTGGAATAAAGATGCCTCCGGGATAACAGTTTTGGTGTTTTCTGTAGCTACACCCTCCTGATTGCTTGTCGCTTGGGTTGGGTTGGCTGGAGAAGTTGGGGTACAGATGAAGCAGGTGTTGTATCATATTCAAGAGTTGAATGATTTCTTGGAGAGAATAAGGATTGGTCGCAGGGAAAGAGAAGGCAGCATGGTAACCCATTGCTAGACTAGTCACATAAGAGTCGGTTGCGAGGAGTTGTTTGGACAATTTGAGGAGAGGTTCTGAATTCAAGACAGATAGCACAGACAGAGCCAGCGCAAGTGGTGACCGCCGCACGAGTGACGCGTCTTGAAGCGCAACACTGGGGCCGGCTGTGAGTAGGTTCGTCGGCGGAGCCAGCGTTGGAGTAGTTGCGGGGCAGGGGATCCCTCTGCGCACCATCTAGGAAGTTACTGAACATATTCTGTTGGAGTTGGTCAATAATCATCGAAGCCGTCTACCTGGAGCGTGGTGAAGGGGAAAGAGATGGCCGTGACGGTCACGATCACGGTCACCGACCAAATCGGGAACCTCGTCGTGATCAGGTCACTCGATGGGTCAATAAGTAAACCAAAATATGTTATCCCCCCACGCTTACTATATATGTAGCCACGTGCGACACTCTGACCGAGCGCAAGGTCATTTGTCCACGTTCAGCCCGTATTTTTAGTAGGTTTGTAGCCCACGACTTACTTATATTCCAACCCGAGCTTTGCCTGTTCCTAACCTCAAAGTCTGACTGTCTCGATACTATAATTGAGCCTCACTTTTCCAATCAACTTTATCGTTAACCCACCTCGATTTCGCGACTCATATACCTATTGGATGTAACATGTATTTACACCTCTTGCTAGCCCATGTATCCAGCCCGACTTTCTACGATAGATCAACATGATCCAGCCCGACTTTTGCACGTCACACGAGCATGATGCTAACCCGACTTTCAGCCTCTCTCTTTTGCCATTTCGACCATGACTTTCGCCACCTGTCCCACTTCCATCCTATGGCGGTCCGTTTGTAAAATAAATAAACCTCAATAATATGAATCAAAATCTCATCTGTAAATAAGTCAACTCCCATCTCAAGAAGTTGAGAGGCTACCTTGAAATATTTGTGGTCCATTGTGAAATATGGGTAGTTGGGCTAAGCCATTCGTTTTCAGCGAGAAGGGGTTTGCACGTGATCCGGCCCGGGCCCCGACCGAGGCCAATAGTGCTCGGAACTTGGCAGACTTCCCTTTCTGGCCACATTTAGCTTAAATTAATTGTTCAAAATGTATGAACTAGACATTTTCTACTACTATAAGATGAGTGGTAAGTGTAGGTGTTTAACACCAGTCGGACCACCATTAAGATCTACGCAGTCGTGCCCTTCTCCGACAAGCCTGATAACCCAGCTTGTCCTTTCTTCCCAACAGAACGTTCTGCGCAACCAGCTTGTGACTCTCCAAATCGACAAGCTCCTGGAAGCCCAAGGTGATGAGGTCAGGGCAGTCAACACTGGTGATCATTATGTTCCCTGCGCGAGAGCACCAGCATGGGCCCCGGCCGGTCGGTTCGAACGCACCACCACGACTTGCTTGCAACATAGTCTTCTCCTCTAGCCATTTTTATGGGTGGTGCAAATCGTGCGATGACACCACAACCAGGACTGAGACTTCGAGGACGAATATGGGAGTCACGAGGAGGAGATGGCGCTGGGGGGCCTTTGTAACTGGGCGGATGTAGCATAAGGAGACGAAGCAGCAACAGCACTAAGACCACAGGATGTGCGGCAGCAGCAGGATGATTTGTTGGATGAAGTGGATGTGGTGCTGATGCTGACGCGGGTTTCCCAACTCCGCATATCCGCCATAGTCCGTTGGCCAGTCACGACGGTCGCATTCAACAAGCGCTGGAGCTGGTAATACAGACGCTGATCTTGGAGGCAAAGGTGGTGGATATCTTTCTCGCTCCCGCTCCCTTCCGCGTGCTCTTTCTCATTCGCTTGCTGAAACCGGGATGTATCGGTCACCACCAGGTAAGTAGTGGTCACAGTCTTGTTCCACAGAAGATGGCAATGGCGGGTAACGTTCTCCACCAGTGTGACGATCGTTTGCATATCTGTCGTACTGTCGCGTGGCGGAGTTGGCCTCGCAGGCTCTCGCGTGGCTCAGAACGGTCGCGAGAGTCAGCGGTCGTCGTATCGTCCATTGCTCAAAAAAGGTGTTGATAAATGTGCTTCCAATGAGCGCGGATTGAGGCCGGAAGAAGTTGGAGTTGGGGCAGCTAAGGCACTGAAAGCCGTTAGAGGAGCCGATGCATTTTGAGGTTGTGCTTAGATGCGGGCTTGAGATTCGTTTGTGGAGCTCCCTATATGCTCTCGAAGACTTGTTGTCGGACCAACATAGGCTTGGCCTTGCACGTGTGCATTCGCGGCAACTGGAGCAGACCCAGAGCTCGTATGTAGTAGCAAGAGAGTGTTGAGGATTGCGACTGCTGGCAGAAGGCGGGCCCGCACATCTGGTGGACGGCGATCTACCCCAGTGCTAGTTTGACCATTGGTATAACTTGTTGTCTGAGCGGGGCGGTCCCAAGAAGCGTGTGAAGCCGTGGGAGTCGTTTCGCTGGCAGTTTATCAAGTAAGACCCTGGTTGCCGCAAGCACATCTTTTTGACTGCGAAAACGTTGTCAGCAACGAAAGCAAGAGCCTAGTAGCTTCAGACTCACCCATTTGTGGCCCCCCGCATCAGTACCTTCCTCTCCCGTCCTCGAGCCCTCCGTTCCTTTTCAGTTCCCTCTCGTTTCCTGCATGAAGGCGCCTGCCGTGTTGGTGGGAAGAGGAGCAGACTCGGACGCCAGCGTGGCGTTTCCCACGGGCTCGGGCAGGCCGGTCCGAACGCGGAGGCCTTTGCCACGACCCACCTGGCATGTGCACGACACAGGGCTGGAGGTTAGGGGGAAATGGTTGGCGGTTGGAAGGAGGTAGAGGGTGGGGGTATTCGGGCGAGAAGGTCGCAAGGAATGCGGGCGAGCGCGTGCAAGTGCATGATTGCTCGCAATCGTCCTTGCAAAGTTGGAGGTGGGTGTGCCGATCCAGAATGTGGTCAGAAAGGCAAGTTCCGAGCACGATCGGCCTGGGCCCGGCCCCGGCCAGAGTCACGTGCGGTCACGTGCAGACCCTTCTCGCGGAAAACAAACTGCTCACACATTATTCCACAATAGACCAAAAACAGTTCACGGTAGCCTCTCAACTTCTTGAGATGGGAACTGACTTATTTCCAGGTGAGATTTCCATTTATATTTTGAGATTTATTTATTTTACAAACGGACCGCCATACCATCCTACTACCATTGGTGCACTGCAGCCTAATCATCTGCCCCAACCCGACTTTTCGCAAGCACTGAAGCAACAATAATCCAGCCCGACTTTTTTGTGCTCTCATTTCCCTGTCCCAGCCCGACTTTCAGCCAACTTGCACACCACCTTTGAGTAGGATGGTTTTGACATCGTCTTTGGCTGATGAATCGGACTGCCAACTGGGCTGACTGGCGACCTCAAGGCGACCTCGGTTTGCGTAGAAGTCACGTACACGTGACTTCTACGCAAGTGTACGTGACTTCTACGCAAACCGAGGTCGAAACCATCCTCGACCAGTATCCTTTATTACCACCATCTCCAGCAGGCAAAAGTCTGGTCCAGCAATGCCAGGTGTGTTGATTCCAGTTCCATAGCTCTCAAACTCATGTGCACCCTAGTCTGCCCGGCTCTACTACCGACTACTCATCGAGATGCTCCGGTCAGACAATGGCAGCAATGGTTTTTTTGGAGACTGCTCTGCTTTCTTTTGCTCGCTGCGACATGGCTTCATTGCATTTCATGGCTGAGACTTGCGATGGGAAATAAGCCCAGTTCAGCGCTGGCTTTCTGTCGTATAAGTCTGGGTTCGTTTGTCCGCTGAAATACGATGAGAGTGTCGCTAATTTATGGTGCAGGTTTAGTTTTTTGGGTCTATTGCTTTCAACACCCGCCGCTTTCTCCCTTTCCCCCTCCTGCTCGACGAGGCCAATACCACATATCATTGATGACTCCACGTCGGTGGAATCAAGCCGTAACCAACAAGTCGTTCACGGTCTTTGTCCTCGGAGTGTCGGGCAGTTCAATACCTATCAGTGAGTGATCTTCTGAATTTCGCGTTGACTCGTATCTCATCTATGATAGTTGTGCAAGGATCGACAACGGGGAATGACCTCAAGCATTGGCTTCAGTCGCGTGGGCTACTGCCCTGTGGATCTTCATGGCAAACCTATCTCACCCATGAGCGGCAGTTGGTCTCAGGCACCGACACGATGTCAGCGCAGGGCATCGGCGACTCATCACACCTTTCATTGCGGTGTCGTTACTTGGGTGGATCCAGGAATAAACGTAAGAGGGACGAAGTAGTGAGTGAATTCAAGTTTCGTACTGCGCTCTGTTCACCCCTTTTTTTCAGGATGATTCAGATGCTCGACCCAAGAAACCACAAAAAGGCAAAGGTGGTCGGCCAACCAATGCTTCGAAATTAAAGCGATCCCGCGAGAATGATGATGATGTATTTCATGAAGATACGACTCCTCCCCCCAGTCTCGCACCGGTTCCAGAAACACCTGAATCAAAGCTTCCGCTCAAGGTTGTCAAGTTCTCTCCACGTACTCGACGTACCGTCACATTTGCACTCAGTACCATGACCTTTTCCGACGACGAATATGACTCCGACCAAGTACCAGTGTCTCGACGCCAGACCTCAAAGCGTCGCCAAACACAAAAGTCGGATCCACGATTTAAGCCACTGAATAAAGTGAAGCGAAGCAAGTCAGATGGCTGGCAAACGTTGGGAAGCACTAGCACATCCGAAACATACCAGTATTTTGAGTCTTCGGTCAGTCTATATTGGTTTCATGTCAAGGCACTAATATTCGTACAGAAAAATGATTATGGTCCACATCGTTATCAAATATCAGACCAGCTCGTTGAGATCCAATACCTTGGCCACCCTCTTGATCGTCCGCAAGACATTCGGGCACGGCCATTCATGCTCAGTTGGATCACAGATGATCGTTCACCACCCAAAAGTTTGCGGAACAAGCCTCGTCCGATCTATCGTGCAACATATAAGTGTCTCGGTAATTGCTCGGCGTTGGATGTCCCCAAAGCACACAAGAAGCGCAAAACGGATCGTCAACCTCACTCAAGTGATTCCGGGTCTGATTACGGCAGCAATAGCGAGTCGGAGTCTGAGAGCCCGTCATCGTCGGAGAGCTCGTCATCGGCAACAACCAGGTCTTGTTCTAGCAAGGTACAGCTTCAGGTCCGTCTGATCTTCCTCTGTCTTTGCTGTCTAAGTAAGCTTTAGCTCGAAGTCTGTTCGGATGATTTGGGCAAGGTTATTGTATATCAACGTGGACGACATGGACCAGCACCAAACGACAGTTTACAAATCTCTCAGTATATTCGTCAGTGTATCATCGAGTATGCCATGCTCGCAAATATGACAGCAGGACGGATTAAGCGACGTTGAGACCATAGTTTTCTGTTGCAATTCACACTGAAAGATCGACAGGTTTGACAAAGGCATATACAACATTCAACACACCTCTATTCAGACGACCGACATCTGCCCAAGTGGAAAACATGGTAGCCAACATTCGCAGGGCAGAAAGGTTGGACACCGATCCTCTCTTGTCAATTGGAATATTTGCCGACAAGAATCCAGACAAGATCTTTTAGTTCGTTTCCCACAGCACTATTTTGTCTCTTCTGACTGCCTGGTTCAGTTATCGTTCAGCGGATCTTTCAACCTCTCCACCGTCCGCATTTGCGACAGGCATTAAATCCGAACACTCTCTCCAGTCACTCTTACTATGGGGAAATCAAAATGGCATTGGCTTAGACTCGTGTTGGAGACATAAAAACGAGAACCGGGCTCCTGTAACATTCGTCACCACTATTGATCATAACCGTCGCATGCTACCAGGAAAGTCGATTGGACATATAAGAGAATCTACTAATAACTCAATCATTTAGGCCCTGTTTATGTCTCCGCAAATGTGACGACTGAAACACTGACCACCTTTCTAAACCAGGTCAAGATATTGGTAGAGAAAATGGCTCGTTCTATTGTGAGAGGCAGGTAGAATCTCAAACCTGATCTATCCTCACTGAGAGATGCACAGGGGCTGTAGGCATCCATCCTTCTCATGCAAAGTTTGCGAACGAGCTCCGCGTAGCTGCCCGACGAGTGGAAAGCGATAGCAATGGCTGGGTCCCATTATTTGTCATGATCGACAAATCACGCGCTGAGCTGAATGCTCTCATTGCAGGTATGCCTTCAGGTTCTGACTGTACTATATCATCTTATCTGTTATAGTCTGGCCTCAAATCTGTGTTCGTCTCTGTCAATTTCATGTCATCCAGGTGAACAAATGTCCGTCAAGTATGATACTATTCATTGATACCAAATAGGCAGTTTTGCGCTGGGAACAGGATGCAAGGTCGCCAACAGCACGTCCTCAGCTATCACGTACTGCCAAGGACCTCCTGCTACACGCTGTTCGTGAGCTACAACGATGTAAAACAGCAGAGGATTGGTCAGCAGCACTGCGAGTTTTCAAGACACGTGTGGCTATACTGTCGGCACACAAACATGACACTGTCTCCCTTATTATGGATTATTTTACCCGAAACTGGTTCTCGGAAGAGTGGCGAGGTTCGAGATGACGATTATCTCTCCTATAACATTACTTAATCTTGACAGATCTGTGGACGGACATGGGGCTACCGGCTGGACATAACCGTGACCGAATTTCGACTAATAATTGGACAGAGCGTGCATTCAAGACTTTTGACCAGATATTTCTAGAGAATCGGGCCAACAAATCGTGAGTACAAGTGAATAGACTATTGTTGTGATGCTAAAATATTGAATAGCGCATATCGGCTTGTGGTTATTATCGCAAATGAATGGTTTTCGTTCTTTGAGAACTGGCAGTACGATAAGCCACGTTTTGACGCAACAGAATTCAAGATTGCGGAGCGGGGTCATCGTTTATGGAACTCGGGCAAGGCGGTGATTCCCCAGTTAGAAGACCATAAGGGTCGTCGTGTTTGGCGTGTTGCAAATCCAGAGGCACTTGGAGATGACGAAGGGGAGTCTGAGTCTGAAAAGAGTCAAAGCGACGAGTAGAGGCGACAAGTGTAACCTTGAATCACTGTAATCATTTGTCATTCAACTCCTATTCTTGCTCTCTACCATGGCTCGCGAAGGCCACCGTCGTCGGCAATACTATGTTGTGGTCGAGCAGCATGACAACTCATTATCTTGCAATTGCTCTGGCTTTCGTCAAACTGGGAAGTCATGCGAACATATTGTAGCTGTTCGCTTGGAGATTCAGTATGGCACTGTTTACGAGTATGAAGGTATACATTGCTGTATCAAGGCTTGTACTCAACTGACTGAGTTTAGCTGTTGAAAAACGAGCACTTCGAGGGAAAGGTGCTGCAGGAAAATCACGAAATCCAAAGAAGAGCTCGAAAGGCATCAAGACTGTTCCCCGGCGCAAAGACAGCACGATTACTAGAGACTATGAGCGATTTCTGGCACAGTTGGGTAAGGAAGAAGATCCATGGGCAGAGCTGCCCTCGACTATCCAGGAGGAGCTTGGTGATGGTATACTGGTTGAGGACGAGGATGTCGATGAGAGCGATGGAAATGCATCAGGAGTCGATATCGACGACCCACTCACACGGATGAGTAGTCAAGGTGAGCACCACTTATTAGAGTCGCACAAAGGCTCTGAACATTATTCAGTGAGTCCTGGTCGCCCTGCAAGAGTTCAGCCATTGCATCCCAGTCGAACAAAGTCTGTCGCCAATCCAAAGAAGCCCTCCAAGAAAAAGAATAAGCCTAGTAAAGAAGAGAAGAAGAAGTCCAAATTCCTATCTATACTGTCGACCATTGGCTCTGTGTTCAGATTGACTTTCTAACATCCACCTTTACACTCTTTGATTCATGGAGAGTAGGCATTAACCCTTCTTCTCAGGATTGGAGAAAGTCAAAACATTCCTTGATTATATTGGTCAGTTCATAACCTCCTATAGGCCTGTGTTAACAAAGATTTCAGTTACTCCGAACTTGGCTGCAAAACCTACTGGAACATCTTAATGTACCAATTGATTGGACTCTTTGGACAATGGATATTGCCCCCCAGGTTAGAGCACTCCTCTGGAGATAATCAGACTTACCTATTTCCTTTTGCAGCACCAAGCATTCCAGACGAATAGCCATGGGCATCTATGTGTGCTTCACAATGACCCTTCTCTGTCAAAACTCAGAAAATCTTCAACATCTTCAGAAGATCATCACACCATGGGCTGTTCAAATGTATCGTTTTGCAATTTTTGAAAAATTGCGACAGGAGCATAAAGAAGTACCACTGGACATATCTGAAGATGCAACTGAGTCAGGTCATGTTTTAGACCTGGGTATCAGTGTGTCTAAGTCAGAAAAGTATGTGCTTTTTTTTTGAAAAGATTTATTTATTTATTTATTTTTTGTGATAAAGCTTGGATGTGGAATCTAATAATCAATTAGAATCTCCACCTCTCCTATCTTCTCCTCTTCCACCCCTGACTTCTAGTCCTGGGCCTCAAGCACCTGAAACTCCAATATTGCGCCGGTCAAAACGCAATCATTGATATTTTTTATATTTGTGTATTTATTTATTGAAAATTATTTATTATCGTAATAGTATTGTGAGTAATGGATATGTAGTAACTATGTGTCAGGCTTCAGGTCGGGCTGTGCAAGGCTTCTTCTAAGAAATGCACGCCCGGAAACAGAACAAACAGATTGTCAGACCCACTGTCAGACTGCGGGTCGGGCCGTGCAAGAACCTCTCCTAAGAACGCGCGCCCGGAACAGAACAGACGGATAGTCGGGCCCGCAGGTACGGCGGGCGGGGTAGATCGAAACCGAAAGGGCCCGTGAACTCGGTCCCTTGCCGTAGTCGGTGGTCGAAGGTTCGAATCGGGTCGTGTCGGGCCCGATGAGTCGATAGCGTCTCCTCGCACGGAGTAAGGTAGTTCTTCAGACGATCTAAGCGATAGAGTACAGGGTACACTATCGCGCCTTATATACGCGGGCCCACAAAGGGGGTGATCGGACACCCTGGCCTCTCCTCCTCCTCCTCGCTCCCATTCCTGGCCGCAGAGGGGACGACCGTACATCCCTTGCGGGCCAGGCGCTACTCCTGACCTCCTAGCACTCCTCCCCAGTCCCCTTGTGTCGAGTTGGGCTCGGCGACGGCTCGACACGTCGTTCTCGGTCATGTGCTTCCCACGTGTGCGTTCCTCCTACTGGGGCGCATGTTCCCCGTCGTCACATGCTGCGTGTTACGGGCCCGCGATGGCCCGACACCAGCGCCGGAGCGGACGGGCCGGGTCTTATCCGTGACACCCACAAGCAGAGCACAATCAAACCGAAAGGGCCTGTTAAAGCGGCCCCTTGTCAAAGCTAGTGTCAGGGGTTGCATTAGGCTGTTGAGTCAGCAATGCCTCCTATTGATCAGATACTCTTAACCTCTTCTGCTCCTTCCTGTGTTCCCTGTCTCTCGCTGTAGAGGATCTGATTCTACATGAGAAGTACATGACTGAGCATGATGTGTTCAGATAAGGTACAGAATATGCTATAGAATATATTGTTGATAATAACTAAAGATTCAGGTCTATACATATGTTGTCTATATTCCATTCTAGTATAGTTGGCTAGTCTACTTCTCGATGCTGAAAAAGATTTGGAGGTGGATAGGCTTGCTGTCCTCGGTTCAATCCTTGTATATTGCTTCTCTTTCTATCTTCAATTATATCTGATATATATTAATTTCTTATTTTTTTCTGTTTTTTTTTTCTCATCTTATTAGATTCAGTCAGATCAAAAATGTATGCCAGAATAAACCCAAACAGTTACTCCAGAAAGGCAAGTTAGATCATTAGTGGAACTACAAGAGGAAAAACTGGGTCATATTATCTTTGTGTTGTAACAGCAAAATATGGCTAGGCTAGAAAGGGATAATAATAAAAAGTTGGGCTATATACTGGGTTTATGGCTGCAGAAAACTGGGTTACATCCTTGGTCAAATCAAAATAATAGTGGGCTACATTATTGTTATTGTGGAACAGGAAAATGTTGGGCTAAACATATAGAATCTTTGTTAAAAAAAGTCGGGCTATGTATCAAGTGTGTGGCTGCAGAAAATCAGGTTACATACTTGGTAAAATCAAAAACAATAATGGGCTAAATCATTGTTGTTGTAAGTCTCGGGCTAAGTATAGAAGAGATAATTTCAAAAGTCGGGCTATCTATCCAGTTCATGACTGCAAAAAAATCGGGCTATGTCCCTGGTACATTCAGCATAGATACTTGGCTATAGTCGGTGGTTCATCGCATGGGCTGAACCTGGGAACACGTTGGGCTAACTTGGATGTATCATTTGGGCTAGAAATACGGTAGAAAAGTAGGCTAGCCATATATTATTTCGGATCAGGCTATATCAGGATATGTTTGGGCTAAAACTATGGTAAGCGTGGGGGGAAAACAGGACTTGCGGATTAAGTAAAACGAATGGAAATTTGGATACAGAAAATATATGTACATTTCATTTTACATTTCATTTTACACTACGCTCAGAGCCCGACCCAACCGCACATCAACAAACGCAGCGCAATGCAATGCAAATATTCCCCAAGACCGTCAACAGAATCGGTGTTTCCTGACGTGTTTCCTCAATCGCATTTGAGGACGATGCCTGTTCCGTTTCAAGTTGATTAGCTGCTACAGGATCTCCGTTGGGGACTGCGGTCGAGGACGATGCAGGTTCCATGTCAGGCTGATCAGCTACTCCGTGGTCTCCACTAGCAATGTCGGTTGAGGACAACTCGGCTTGTTCAAGCGATTGTTCCTCTTTTATTAGGAGCTCTGGTGCATCCAGCTCAACGATGGCGTCTTTCATAAGCCGGTCTTCCTCGGATTCGGGGTCAAGTTGATGACCGAAGTCGCTCGTTCTGTCTCAGATATGACTTTCTGAATATACGAGATCGTGTCCACAGATATGATTTTCGGCTTTGGGACGTAGTTCAAGTCCCGCTTGGGATGACTCAATCGCTAGGAGGATTATGAGTGTTCAGCACACCAAGGATGGATTGGAATTGACTGACCCAAGTCATGAGGGGTTGGACCAAAGCTTCCTTGAGCGTGTACTTATTAGTCAGAGTTTCCGCGTCGCTAAGACGGGCCCACTCAGCATCACTGACTTTGGGCTGTTTTGGAGGTTTTGGGGGCTTTCCGCGAGCAGCGCGAAGTTTCAGAGTCCAGCAAACCCAAATTAGAGCGTCTTTTGGAATTGCCATGAGTTTCTCACGCAGGCTGTCCTCCGTAAGCAATGCATTTCGTTGGACTTGCTTGCGGAGTTGTGGGTTGGGTTCATCAGCTTCGTTGGGCCCGTCGTTGCCGTCGTCTGCATCCCCATCCTCGTTCTCATGAGCAACATCATCATCGAGTTCAACGTCACTGTCCTCTGTGTCAGCTGGTACATCCTCGATTTCACGCTGAAGGAGACGCTGAAGTCGAGATACAAGTGGATAGCGATCTGGCATCGGCCCAATATCTTTGGGTGCCGACTCTACTGTCGCAGGGGTGAGAGGAAACCAATCGAACGGGAAGGCAATTGGAGCTGAATCCCGTTTTTTGGCAATATCTTGGTCAATTTGAAGGACGCGGCGGCAGTGGTAGTGAACTACTCCTTCAAGCACAGTATGCATTGGGTCAGGAACAAGCATAGTCGTTGGGTTCCAATATGGGAGTCGAAATAACTCCGACCAACGCACTCCATGTTCCGTATAGATTTTGTTTTGTTGAGCGATCGTGTCAGCATCCCGCCAAGCCGCCGCATGTTTTCGTAATTCATCGATAGACTTGCATTCACGGTTAAAATCTGTCCGATAGACTGTCGCTCGATGGTGGGCATTGCAACGAGAACAATAAATTGTGTGATTATGAGCTGGTTGTCCACTCAGTTGACGGGCCGCAAGGAGATCGTTGATGGACAGAGGTAGAGCCAGACGCAAAAGACGGCCTTTTGGATGTTTGGCCGTCTTGGTTAGCCATATGCCACGATCCCAACCAGCCAACGCAACATCGATAACAGGCTTCAGATATGGGTTCAATGAAGCGCCTTTTGGTGATGTGGGACCAGGAAGGATGCTGGCGTAGACATTTTCTGGGGCGTTACGAAGATGTATAGGCAGGTTCAAGCAAGAAAGCTTTAGCACACCAATACTTGCCGATGATGAATGTATGCTGGCCCCGCGCGGAGGGAAATAGTCGACACTGATTGAGAACGCGATAGGGAGGCAACCGGGCTGTTTGATGAACAATTCATCCTGCTTAGGTCCTTTGAACTGCTGTATAAGCTGCCCTTGCATCACGGAATCGGTATATTCATTTGCGATCGAGGTGAGATTTGCCTTTTCGATGAAATCTTCGATTTCGGGATTCGACAAGAGGCGACCGAGATAGTCGAGAAAGGAGGGCGATAGAAATGGCTTTAGAGGGCGATGATCTTTGCCCAATAGTAATGTATTGCACTTTGATCGACCGTCCACACCAACTACAACATTCTCGCACTTGCTGAGCCATTTTCCCTTCTTATCCGTGCTGACCATCGGCGCGTAGAGATGGTGACACGAGGGGCAAGCGGCATACAAGGTGGTCTTCCCTTCAAGTTCGAGTTGTTTCATTGAGTCGAGCAGCGATGTGGGTAGCTGATCGATAATGCCCTGCGCCGCGACTCCATAGCCAGAATCTTCATCATCCTCCCCTTCCTTTCCTCGTGACATGACAGAGACAAATGCTAGTTTGACAATGAGCCGCATGGTGCCCATGATGAAATCAACAGGAGTCCTGGCTAGTCCGAGTATTGTGTTGCAAACAAGAGAGAAAATGACCATGATTTGCGCAATTTCATGCAGATGTTTGAGATTGTCTTCATACAGATACGCTGTACCAATGATAAGCCTATTGATGACATGAAAACGGGCAAACTGACCTGTGTCATAACGCAAAGGTTGTGTTTCGGGAGCTAGTCCTGCTCTGAAGTTTGCCAACTGAGTTTCCAGCTCGCTCAGCTGTGCCGCAACTACTGCTTTTTGCGGCGAGGTTTGTACCCTCTGAAGCGACGCTGCGATCAGTGCGATGCATGCAATTTCGTCTTCCGCTCGATGAACTTTGACCCACGGGTCGTTTTTATCATTGCGAGACTGGAACTCCTGTTTGGCGACCTGGATGTCTACAGAGATGGCCGCAAGAAGATCTTGTCGAGACTTTTGAGCAGCGACTTGTGTCTTGCGTTTTTTCAATTTAACTGCAGACTTTTCCAAGTCACCCATCAGAGAGAGAGGATCTGGATTGAGAGTTTCCAACTCCTCTGTTGGATGGTCAAAAAGAGCCACGCGCGCCGTTTCTAATACCAGACGATCCTGGAAAGTACAGGTAAGTTAAGTAGTTTCTAGCAAAAGCGATGGAATCACAATTTCGGAAGAGGATATAGATGAAGGGGCAGGTTGATTCTGGGACTTATCAGCCGCCAAAAAGGCTTCCAACTCCAGGAGATGCTCCTTCCGTTTTTTCGTGCTCACAACATGTTTGAAGGGCTGTAGCTTGCAAGTGCAATCGAAAGTCGGAGGAGCCATTCTTCAAAGCCGGTTGGGAGTAGGACGAGCAGGGTAGCCCACCGCTCAATCCGAGCCCAGAAAGCAGGGTATCCCACCGCTTAGGTTGACCGGGGTTGAGAATTTCCGAGAGAGTGCCAATCTGGGTTGTGCCAGTGACCGTGACACCAAATCGGGTCAGGATCAGCAGCTGACCTCCACTAGGCTTCACCTGCACTAAGTTCTAGTTCATTCTAACCTCTCTGGTGAGCCACGGGTCATAGTGCAAATGCTCTAAAGTACTTCTCAAAGTCTACAGATGGCTATTTTCCAGATGGCGCCGAAAGTGCAGAGGCCTACCCCCTCTATCTTGTGTAAGCTCATACTCCAACCGCTTGACGTCCACCAGTGTGTTCAACCATTCTGCAGACCGCTCATGCTTGAAATGCAGCAACTTAATTGTCGAAACAAACTGACGGCAATTTGAAAACTGTGTTTTCTTCTTCGACCCACGAAAACCAGTCTAGCATCGGGTTACCGTGCTGACTGAGTTGAGCCTCACAGAAATATCGAAACTGTGAACTCGACTTGATTCTTTCCAATACGTCAAAACAAACCGACAGCAAATTGAAACTGTATTTTCTTCTTCGACTCACAACAACCAGTCTGGCTTCGGGTTACCGTGCTGACTGAGTTGAGCCTCACAGAAATATCGCAACTGTGCATTTCCGCTACAACCAGTCTGACATAGGGTTACCTTGCTGACTGATTTTGCGGCGCCAATTCCTGTTCCTCGACCGAATACCCTCTTACCGACCCACGGCAGCCAGTCTAGCATCGTTTTACCGTGTTGTGATGACTGCTGTGCCCAACGTCCTTACCGTCTTTTCCCAACCCGATCCCGATGTGAAGGATGGAAATGGTGCTACTTGAGTACCGGCTTTCCTGCGACCAATACTAGGTGAAGTCCTCGTATAACCATCTGGCGCGCATACCACCCTGAATGCGTCCGCGTGCGTTCTGTGCATTTTAAGTAAATTCTGAGAACTGACCATCGAGCAGCATGATGGTTCTATTGCTGCCGCCAAATGCACCGCCCTTTTCAATCTGGAGAACGGGCGCCGAATATGCAACCGCAAAGGTTAAGGCGGCAAAGTCCGCACGCGCGTCCAAATCGAGTGAGTTTTGCGGTCTTGTTGCCAGTGAGGAGAGGAATGCTGACGCGTGGGACAGCCGTCAACTCTGCTGCGCCGATTGACCCCGCCGCTGCCTGTCCGCTTCTGCTGCGCCACCGGCCATCACCGAGTGCCCGGTTGACCCGAATGCCGCCAGTGCTGGTGCTGCGGTGCCGGTACTGTCCCCCCGGAGCCAGTGTGGCCGTCTCCCATGTTGACCCCGCTGCCGTAGCCGGAGCTGACATGGGTGCGGGTGCTGCGCCAAACCAGCGCCGATGCTAGCGGCAGCTCCGGTACTGGTGGCAGCGCCAGCGGCGGGGTCAACGGGGGAAGAGCTGGTTTTGGCGCTGGTGCTATCCGGCTCGCTCGCAAAAACGCGTTGCAAGGAAGAATCATGTGAACGAACAGGGACATGCTCTGGAAGATATGGCACAAAAAACGACTTGGTCGTCGTCACCGAAAATTAGCACCAGACTTGAAGTAGTAATTCAGACCAACAAAAAAACTCAGGAAAACTGAGATAGTAACTGTCCCAGCGGCAACCATTGTGATGGGAATCGGGTTTCCTGGGAGGCTCGCGGCCGAGCCCGAACTGAATGACGACTGCGGTGCCCCGCTGCCCGAGGAGCCACGCAAAGTCGTACGAGTGCAGAGGCGTGGTGTTGTTTGGCGCGCAGTGGTGGTCCTACTGGTTCTGGGTCCATTTCCCAGCGCGTTTTACCTGCATCAGTCAGTCTTAGAAGATCGGTGAGCGCTGCGCTCGTTTCCTACTCGTTCCGCCTGAAATTAAAACTACAGACAGCGGTGGTGTAGCGCCTTCGATCCTGAAGTTTTCAAGGGAAACGGGCGACCAGTTGGGCCTGCGCGCATTCCACAAAACACGACGGCGCCGGGCCCAATTCTCACGCGTTGCACTTGAGACTTTCAGGATGAGGCGGAGCAACAATCTCCTCATCCTCCTGAGAGTCTCAGGCGCAACAGACTGGCGGTTGGGTCTGGGTGACCCGGTTGGCGTTTTCCAAAATCAGCGGCGTTGCCGGCTTGCCTTGCGCGCGTTCAACTTGGGAGAATGGCCCCGGTTAGCGACGCCATGTGCGCGCGCCTCCTGCGAATCCCCAGCGAAACGACGCAGTCGTCATCCCGCAGTGCCCAATCTCATCCCGGTGAGTGCTTCAATTGTCGCGGTCAATAAAGACTCACCTTGTTGGATTCTCCAGCCGATATTCCCCCTCCCTCTCCCCATCCACGCTCTCCCCTCCCCATCCACACTCCCCTCCCTCCCTCCATCGTACGCGGTGCGTCGTTTGGCCAGCGATGACGCGTTGTCATCGTTGATGGCGATGGGAGTACTTAAGGCAAGGTGAGTTGTGACGATGCGACAACTCACCTTGCCTTAAACCACCACCACCACACCATAATCAACAACCACAAGGTCAGTTATCGTTTTTTTTCAGCTCTGCTTACTTACATGGGGCAGATGAACCATCTACCCGGACTAGAAAGTCGCGCACACGCAGAGGCGCGCGTTCTGAATGAGGTTTGGACCCCCTCTCCACTCATTCACATTTGCTGACGCGAAACTCAGCCGCTTCACCGTCGTTCGCGCTTCGCGACGATCATCGCCACCCTTCGACGCCTTTTGGGTCTGGCCCAGCCCACCGCGGTCGACACCTCGATCGTGGTGTAAGGTAGGAATGACCCTACTGCGTTGTCACTCGCGCTAATCGCGTGTCCCAGCTAGAAACTCCAACCTTGGGGTCTACCCGGAGGTCCGACCCTTGGGGTCGACTCGCGGGTTGACTCGCAAGTCGCTGATATACGCATAGTTTCTACTACAATTTCTGAAATGTACATACTAATAGTTTTAATTGCAATTTCTGGCACAAATAAACTCGAGATTTCAACAATAGTTTCATTGTGCTGTAAACCTAGAGTTTCAGCAGTGGAGAAATGCACATAGAAACAAAGAGAATCTTTGTGCATTTCTCCACTGCTGATTTCCTTAGTATCATCCGCGCTGAAACTGACAGTGAAACAAAGGATTTCACTGTCAGTTTCGCCACGTTTGATGCGCGTGATATCATGATCAAATATATGCGCGCAGATATTAACCATTTCAGGAATGGTTTCAGCCTCACAGATAGTTTCCATCTCAGACTGTCTAAAACTGGTATATATTTGACTAAAATCACTCTCAGTTTCAAAAAGGTATATTTTGGGCAAATCTCCACAGGCTGATTTGGTTCTAGATTCTGGTAGAATCTAAGACAGTTTCTACTTTAAGGGATATTTTGCCAAATCCGGTGTGTATGCTTGTCACACTTGAAGCTTGAAGCTTGAAGCTTGAAGGTCAATGAACCCTCAGGCTCACGTGAAGTAGTAATACATTTGTACTACGCAATGCTTTTGCCTCTGATTCTCGTACTTTCTTTTTGCCATCCCACAGCGTCCACGACCCTCCTCTCTGAACCTCCTCGCAAGACCTCGCTTCTCGGTTGTTGCCCCGCAGAACGACCACACTCTGACGGTCTGACCCGAGTCGGAGTCAGCGATAGCCCAAGAGATCAATTCAGGATTGTCACCTCCCAAACCAACGGTTACGATGCCACTAAAACAGGCAGACGACTCAAGAAAGGCCAGTCTTCGGCACGCTGGTTGCAGCGCGGAGCCGTTTTGCCGGCTTGCTCCCTTCGAAACGGCACGCCAAAACCATGTTGCCCCTTTGCCAACTTGCATATGGATAAGTCTTCTTTGCTGGTGGGATCATTCGGGGCAGTAAATCGAAATATTGCCGTCCCCTGTCGCGTTTGCTTACTTGAGCGCGACAGAGGAACACGGGCGAGGCAGAGTGGATGGCGGTTTAGAATTGCTGGTGGACGAGTGACCAATTGAATGCTGTGAGCTCTGCGTTAGTATGTCTTGCCGAGTTGTCTTGCAAGCTAACTTGATTGGTATTGGTGGTCGTCAACGACGGCGCACGAGGGAGGATGGCACTGGCAATGGTATCGTTGTCGCTCAGCAAGTTGACGTTGTTGGTGCTCTGATAACCTCATCGTTGTTTGGTTTTTGTTCTCCACATTGCCTGGACTGCTAACCCAACATCAACCCAGTCGTGTTTACGCTTTGGAGTTGTTCGTCACTGACAACGGCGCGTAGCTCGGCGTTGTCCCCACCCACACTGTGGTCGTTGTTGGAGTCGATTGGCGGTGGGAGTTGCTTCCGGGCCGAGCTCCTTTGACAGTAAAGGCGGTAGAAAGGTCGATCTTTGGGACTAGTGAGTATATTTGTCCACTAAAATGCGCGCATAACTCACCCACTTCAAGCCTACTTCGCATCGTCTTTGGAATTGGTCCTTGCCGGGAGCTATGTTAGCAGCCGTTGCCAGGAGAAATCGGGTATTTTGGTCCCCACTGCGGGCCGAGTTTTGGGAACGATTGTCGCCCTGGGCCAGCGACAACGCCGCCTCAAGTCGGGCCGCTTGTAAGGGTGGTGGCAGAAAGTCGATGTTATCGTTGTGGCCGTCGATGGTGCTCCTGAGTAGTTGTTGGCCGTGGTTGGTTCTGGGGTCGTGTTGGAACAGCGCTGGGTGGTCGTTGTTGGAGTCAAATGGCGGTCGGTGTTTCGAGTTTCTGACCAGCGTTATCGTCCATTCCGAGATAAGTAAGCACATGAGTCCGCTGAAAATCCGCTCATAACTCACCTGTTTCCAGCCGCTGCAAATTTAAAGTCTCCGGGTTGGAACGGCACACATTGACAAAAGGTGATGTAGTCGTAGCCGTAGCCGGATACTAGGTTGCCGCGTGAGTTTGAGATGGCGCCGGAGCCATTGTTGCCTTGCTGGATGCGGCTTTGAAGCGGAAGAGGGCACCTGAGAGTGCCGACAAGCAAGGAGAAAGTCGAGACTTAAGATTATCGCGTGCCGTCACACGAGGTCACCACAACGTTCTCTACTGAGGTAAGCCCTGCTTCACATTTGTCATTTATCTCACTCTGTTGCAACCAGACACTTCCCTCACTTCCGAGGCCACTGCTATGTAGAAGCGACTTCGTGGAGAAGGGAAGAATGATTTGGTGGCTACAAGGTGCATTTCTTTTTTCATTTCTCCATAAAGCTATCAAACAGTTACAGTTAATACAACTACATTTAACACTGTCCGCACTACTCAACACAAGAGAACTGGGCTGGGCTTGCTGTCGAGGGCAGCGTTGGTTAGTCCTTGGTTTCGCCAATCAACTGGGCTCACGCGGTCGGGAGAGCTGGACCAAAAGGTGCGTTTCTTCTTGCTGCTGCGCACAAACCTCTTCAACAAGTCAGCACAAGACATGAACACAGGCCTGGATGTTGTTGACATCGCTATATACTCCTCGTATCCTGGCGGCCACCAACCCCCCATCCTCCTGTGCTGACCAGCGTCTATCAGGCATTCATAAGCGCTAAGCTTGCGCTAGACCCTAGGCAATGGGCGAAGAGAGGCCTTGAAAACCTTCTGCGACGCCAAGGACGACCTTTCCCGCCACAGACATGCGGAATTGGGTGAAAACGACGGCCTGTATAACTTCGATTGCGTAAGCATTTTTGTGCCATCTTTTTGCCTTTCGAAAGTCACTTTTTCGCAGGATTTTACCGCCGGAGGCGTGCATAACGCCCCGAACTTGAACTGGACGTATTCTCTATATCCTGGTGGACATCGCTGTTTGTGAACGCGAGGAACGCGCCATTAGACACGTAGAGGATAGCCTGATACAAGTATCAAGTTCAAGCTTGTCAGGGGGAGCGCGAGCGCGAGAGATGCACCGCCAGGCGCATCGGAGAATGGTGGATCCTAGATAGTCGCCCTGATTGGAATCAAGCAAATTGTCTTGAGGTCAGTTTTTGCTTCCTCTTAAACACTTGCGCTGACTTAGAATAACTCGGAACATGAAGATGCTGCAGATTTTTTGGCATCAGTAGACCCACCAATCAAGTATAATATTCTCGACGCAGACCACTACGGATTGTCAAGGACCGCATTCTCGATTTTTTGGCTGTTGGCAAGTCCGAGTCATGAGGAACTTTGGGGTCAACGACTACAACGTCTTCTGGCAGTATGTCATTGTCTTTTACCTCCATTACTCGGAAATAATGAGCTTTAGACACTACCACGCCCGCTCCAAATCACCCGAAAGTCCAAGGCAAAATTCTTCTACTTACTGGTCCGCCTGGAGTCAACCTCCATTGACAAATCGATCGCGCCGATTCAGCTGAGCGTTAGCGGCTTGAGCGATATCGCAGACATCAAGGGACACCGAAGGACCCACGTTGAGTCGGTGATCTAAACTTAAGGCTGACGAACAACATAGTGTGATCCCTGGCAAAATTATTCAAATCCCTTGAAACGCGGGAGGGGCATCAATGGCGAGTGCACTGCTGGAAATGCTGGACCCTGAGCAGAACAGTTTTTTGGACCGCTAGTGCGTTTATTTCCTGTCTTAGTTATTTCGTCGTTTTCAAACCGCTCAGCATGGACATATCCCTCGACCTTTCCTCCATCATTTTCGTCTGTACCGTCAACACCCCCTCCGCTATCACAGCCCCCCTCCTCGACCGTTTGGAGGTGATTGAGATGTCAAGCCAAGGAGTTGTCTGGTCTTAACAGACGACAGCGACAGGGATAGGCGCACCGAGCGAGTCTGACAACGATAGAGCGATACTAAAGCTGTCTCACCTAAACACGACACGGAGCCCCAACCACAAGCTCCTAGCGAAACGAGTGATGACGCAAGGGCGCAAACTTCTTCCTATTCCCAAGACGGCCCATGTCCTTATTACTGCGGAGAACCTGAAGGAGTATATGGGTCCGCCTGTTTACCAGAAGGACCGCATGTATGACGACGCGAAGCGGAAGCCGCCGCCGGGCGTTAGCAGGGGCCCGAGGTACTTGTACTTGGGCAACGGGAGCGCAGCCGTTATGCCGATTAACAACACCCAGAAAGTGGACTCCTCGTTCGTGGCAGTATTTGAAATATGTATACTACAGGCCCTTGTCCGTCTCTGCCGAAAATGGATTTAATATGTCTTTTGGGTGGGGACCGAACCTGCGATCCATCGCGTAGGCGTCACAAAGGTGAGAACTATGCAGATCATCTCGTGAGGCGCAGTGCAGGTTGAAAATTTCTGCCGTCATATATGCATCTCATTGTGAGCCAGCCTCGAGCCTCGGTGTTTATACCGCCTGCTGTGGGCAGCATCGAGTAGTCAATGCCAGAGGTAAGTGGGTCCCAACCAGGACAGTGAGATCCAGCCTACCGACGCCACTCAGAAGAACACATTTCAGATGCCCCATTCCACAATCCAAGGAGTGAAGACAGACAAAAAAGTCGAATCTCACCTTCCAATGAGGACACTGATGAGCCAAGCTTGAGAGCGCAACGTGCACTGTGTCGCATCTTGTTCAACTCGTACGACTGGTCATATTCAGTGATCAGGGACAAAACCGGCCTACCTCGCGAGATAGTATCACGAGCACTGAAGAATGTTAACCTTGAAACACGAGTCGAAGGTGGGCGCACAATGTCGTACTATGTGGACGGGACAGCACGATGGACAAGCAATTTGTCAACAACGATCTTCTCCGAGATTTACTCAACGAAGAAGGTCCGCTAGAACGCGTCCGGAGCGGCTCAGTTGGTAGTGACCCAGACTCAGACCCTCGTCCAACCGGAACGAAACAGAAAAGGTTCGTGGCAATCTGGGCAGATACTACCCACAGTCTGATCAAATATCACTTGGATTCAGCTTTCCCAAGCTGACCCATTCGGACCGCGCCCTATGTCGAATTCTCTACCACGAACATAATTGGAGGCTGGATCTTGTGGCAGAAGCTTTTGGTCAGTCGCGTCCTGGAGGAAAATCGCCCCTGTATAAAGCAGTGAAGAACATTCCAAGCGCCAAAGGCTCAGATATCGATGATCCTTCGAGAGACCATGAATTCGTCAACAAAGCCAGACTCGCAGAATTATTGGTCCGCTCACACTCACCTTCCACTCATCCACACCGCCGTTCCACCTCACGTGCTAAGGCACCTCGTTTCAAACCCTACGAGCGATCTCCTGGGAAACAGGGGAAGACTATGCATGCAAGTGGAAAAAATGCTGCCGATCGGAGCCAGCCTGACCCTTTTGACTGTCCGCCGCGCTCTCATCACGCCCGCGATGCTGACTCGGATCGTTTGTCCCCATCCAACAGTAGTTTTCGTAGAACGGGCCATGTCGGCTCGCGTGCAGCCTCTCTCGAAAAATATCCCACTGCATCCAGCCAGATGCCATCGCTCTTCGAATTCCTCGCAAATATTGGACCTGAAATCGACCTCTCCGATCGACACAGCTTGTTCATCGATCGAGGCATTGACACCATCGCAAAGCTTCGGGCAATGAAAAGCTGGGACAAAGAAGACCTCCACGGGGCACTGAGTGACTGGTTCCATGACAAAGTCACAGTAAAGTCCGGAAAATATACTCCACTCAACGACTACGAGCTTGTCGCCCTTCGGCAGGCCATCCAAAAGCTGTAAGAACCCACGTACAAACATTGAAGATTGCTAGTTCTGGTCGAAACTGTTCCATAAAGATCGAGTACAGAGAATATATAAAGCGTGTTTACTGAGAGACAAATGAGTACTTGCCCGAGTCGACCCGGGCCTTCATAGGCGAGCTTGTTATCATGGTGATACCCTGGGCTTGTGCCACGGCCTTCCCGTCCTCGGTTAACGTCTGAGCTGAGCTGAACGTTGTACCACTCACATAATAGATGGTATAGAGAACGGCAGATTGATTCATTTGAACTCAGGCTGGATCCGGTTGATCCGGGTCCCATCGTACTGAAGACAGTGAGACGACGCATTGAAGCGGATGGAGACACACAGTCTCTCGGCCGAAAGCGCGTTCTTAGCAGCTTTACAGAGCGCCTTACCCAAGACCGTAGCCAAAGGATTGCTGGTAGTCGAGTGTAATAATGGATGAAAGACTGGTGCCACCAGTCTGGTGGCTCTTCCCCGTCCTTCCGCAACACTATGAGTGTCTTGTAACAGAAAATCGACATCCAAATACTACATAGTAGCGTAGTTTTTAGCGAATACTGCGCTTGGTAGAAAATCGATATATCTCGTCCCCTATGGATCGAGTCCGTGTTGGCGGACGACTACGAGGAACGAGCCGATGCATTTAAACTCGAGTCGGTTCTGTTATTGCTATCATATTGTTGAGCACAGAAAACAACCTGATCAAGTACTGCTCACCTGAGAAAATATCAAGCATTCCCTTTGCCGAGACCCCAGGGAGCTGTTGCCTCACGGCTACTGCGAAGGGTTCAAAGCTATTGGGGCCACAAGTGAGCACAAAATTGCAGTGTCATTATCCTCCAGTTGGATAACGAGAGAGCGAATATGCTTGGCAAGGGTTCGATATATTACGGTCGGAGGATGAACGTTGCCAAACTTGAGCTTCGCACAAAGTTGAGATGATGAAGGTCGGTTTCGACATCCGGTAGGGAAGGGGCTGACTTGGGAGCTTCCAAACTGCTGACTATGATAAATAATGAGCGGGTCATTGTAACCATTCATAGCATGATCGGAAGTGGGATCATCTTCAGTCGCAACAGCACAAGAGTGTCAAGTGCTTCACTGGCAGAAAGTTGCTCAATCCAATTGAAGATCGCCGAAGTGACTTTCTTGGGTATGTCATTCCACTTGTCCTTGCATGTCTCTGAAATCGCGATGCTGAGGTGTTCGAAATGTGTGAGCAGGCGTAAGACGCGTAAGAAATCGCGGATTGGATGAGACTCTTGAATATTTTCGAGGTCAAGTCTGGTGACATATGACGCAAGGTGAAGGGATTCGACAAAGTGTTATGCGGCCTTTTGAGATGGTTCTAGCCCGAGAATTCTCTCTCATGGCGAAATCGAGAGTTGCGTGACGAGCCTGAGTCCCAAGGCTGAACAAAGATAGACGTAGCCAAACAACAGTTTTAAGCGTTGGAAAGCATGAGACTTGGTTTACGATGGGCTCCACAAGTTCGTAAGGTATAGTGGAGGACATGGTAAGTCGTGTAGCCAGAATTCCATGGCGGAGATGGAGATCGAGTGTGACCTACATAACACCTCATAACACGTCACGTGTCACTTCTCCCTGCCTTCACGCTTCCTCTCCAGATCGACGAAACGATCATCTTTCGCGCGAAAAGAAACTCACGTTCAACAACCCCAAACTTGTAACCGGCTAGGATCTCTGGTGAGTCTTAATAAGCCGCAATCGACCGCCATTTGACCACATTTGACTCATTAGCGCCTGGCATGGCCCCGACATGTCGCTCGACCGCATCCTGCAGCAGATTACCACCACAACTAATCTCAATATCTTGGACCAAACATTGGAAACCAGTCTTCCCAAGGAGTCGAGGGACACTCTTCTTTCAAGTCCACTTGCGAGTGGTCAAGATCCTTTGAAAATACTGGACCTCACGCAAAACAATTGTATATCATGTGCGTGCTCTTTCAAATGTTTTGGTCCATTGCTCATCACGCTTTCAAGGCAGCTCGACTGAGCGTTACCAAGATTGCGGTGCATCTCCAGGTCATAACCACATTCCTACCTGAACAAGCCCGTCTCGCCCCCAGAACGAGGTTTGCAGAAATAGCCATCGCGTTAAGCATATAACAAGTTGATATTCTTTAGTGACTGCGTTAGCGAAGGGAATCTATCGATATGGGCTCTCCAATGGCAGCGTGTTTTCCTTTTCGCTCGTATGTTGCTGTTAAGTAATAATCTCACATTCCATAGGCATCATGGGCTGCCCAGCAACTGTCCAGCCACTATTCAATCTTGTCCCCCACATCATTTGTCACCACAATCCATCCTGTTTTCCTGCAAGTTAGTGCTTGCAACGCGTTTTATAGCTACCGCTAATAACGGTCGAAGGCTGCGTTGTCGCTAGCCAGCCTAGTGCTGCCTGCCCTCGCCACTCCCATTGCAAACGTCTCAACTCTCCTGTCCGACCTCACTTATAACGACAACTCGTCTATCATTGTCTCGGTGGCGTGGCCCTTGCAATGCTGAAAAGATGGGCGGAGGCGGAGGAATACTTGGAGATTTGTGTGACTGTGCCGGGATCAGCGCCTGGAGGCACTAAAGAAGCTTCGACTTGTCCAACTCATCTCGCGCGGAGAGACGACCTCGCTTCCCAAACATGCGCATTCAAGCTTGCCTCGCATGTTCAAAAACTCGTTAACACCGAGCTCATCAATGCTTACCCGCAAAACATCGAAACGTTGCATGGGCTCCTGGACAAGGAGAAGCCGCTGTTCTTTGCAGACAAAAATTTGGCGCTCAGGCGATCGAGCGTGCTCCTAGGTGGACGTTGCGGAAATTGACAGCAACCTATGTTGCTCTGGGTTTGGCAGAGATTGCTCGGCTGGTGGGGGAGACCGGGGATAATTCGCTGCTCGTTGACGATGGTGTTACTGCTACTCATTTACTCACTGTTACCATTCGTGTTATACACTTGATTGTTAGTTTTACAAAACTGAATGCTGGATTGCACAATTGAGTCAGACTGTAAGGGCAACCCTGGAGACTCCGATGAAAGCCTAGCAGGGGAGGATCCAAAGAGTGAATAAGAGCTACGGGAAATACACGGAGGGACCGACCTAGCAGGGGAGGATCCAAAGAGAAGAAACTCTAAGGGTCCGCCTGCTAGGGCGCCAACTATATACTGGTCGTCCGTAACTGCCGACGTAGAGCGCAGAAGGCCTGTGCGGCATTGCAGGCCGTGTCCCAAGGTGATCGTTGGGAGGGTCTTGACGGATCGGTGATTGTGCGGGCGAAGGAGGCTGTGGACGACGGTCGGGGCGGGTCGGAGCATCCGAAGGGGCGCCGGTCGAATGCGCCTTGATGCGTTCGGAGGGTCCGAAGGAGGCCGAAGCGGGGGTTCCCCTGACATCACCCCCCCCCCTTTGAATGCGGCGTCCTGACGCATAGTTCGGAAGGGCAAGGAGTCGAAGGTCGCTGAGGCGATGTGCCGTGGTTTACCTGGGTACCTCCGATAGAAGTCCGCAATTTTGTCTGGTGCGAAGACACGGTCGAACCGAACCCACGAGTCGTGCGAAGCATCGTAGCCTTTCCACCTGACGAAATAGTTAAGACGCTTATACCTTATCCTGGCATCCAAGATTTCCTCGACTTCCCATTCGGGGACTCCGTCCTCTAGTTTGGGGGGCGGTTCGTCGTAGCCGGGTCGTCCATTGAAGGGGTCGTCCTGAGCGAGCTCGAGCTTAACAACGGGGAAGACGGGGTGGAGCTTGGAGTAACGCAGGGGGAGGTCGAGCTTGTAGGCACCTTTGCTAACCTCTGCGAGCACCTTGAACGGTCCAAGGCACTTGTGGGAGAACTTCTCGGAGGGCCGAGTCGTTCTGATATCAGAGGCATCCAACCAAACCTTATCACTGACTTGAATATTCGGAGCATCCGAACGTTTCCGATCGTAGTACTGTTTATACTCGTCTTTGGCTTTAACGAGCGCGGCCTTCGCCTCAGAGACGCTGTTCACTATCCGATCGCGAAACTCGTTCACTGACTCCAACTCTGAGCGGATGCCCGGCTTGAAACCCATTCGGGGGAGCCGACCGGTGTCCGTCATAAAGGGTACCTGTTGAGTGGAGGAGTGAACGTGGTTGTTATAGGCGAACTCAGCGGCAGGGATAAGGTCGTCCCAGTCGTCTTGTTGGTAGTTGGTGAAGATCCAGATGTACTGCTCGAGCTCCTGGTTAACGTGTTCGGTCTGTCCGTTGGTCTGCGGGTGGTAAGCCGTAGAGGTAGCCGGCTTGACGCCAATTAAGCGCCAGAGTTCACGCGTAAAGTCAGCGATGAACTGCGAACCACGGTCCGAAATGTACTTCTCGGGGGTTCCGTGGTGCCTCCAGACGTTCCGATAGTACAAGCGGGTAGCTCCGACCGCGTCTATCGTCGTATGGCACTCGGTGAAGTGAGCGCGCTTCCTGAGAGCATCAACCACTACCATAACTGCGTCATACCCATGGGCCTCGGGGAGCTCGACGATGAAGTCCACAGTGACGGTGTGCCAACGCTCCGGGGGGACTTCGGTCGGGTGCAGCTCTCCATGTGGAAGCCTTCGGAGGACCTTCGTACGACAGCATAAGTCACAGGTCGCGACGTAGCGTCCGATATGGCGAGACATCTGCGGCCACCAGTAGTTGCGCGAAACCAACTCCAAGGTCTTGAACCGCCTGGCATGTCCGGCGACACGCCTGTCGTGGCACAGCTCTAAAATGCGCCTCCCTAGGTCTTTGTCCTTGGGGACTACAACCTTGCCGCGGAAGTACAGGAGGTCGCCCGAGACGGCCCACTTGTCCGAACGCGATGAGCGGGGGCCCCGAACTTGACCTCGGACCTTCAAGAGTTGCCGGGCCGCAAGTGCGACGGGTTCCTCTAGGTCAGGCTCACCGGATAGCGCTTCCTTGATGTCGCGGACAAGTTCGGAGCCAGGCCCAGAGACAGTGACGGCCTCAAGCGCGCGAACGTGGAACAGTTCGGGCCATAAGAGGGTGACATCCGAGTTGTCTTCGGAGATGCCGTGGTCAGGCCGGTGGGAGAGAGCATCGGGACGGCCCATCTGGCGACCTGGGACATGGTGCAGCGTAAAGTCAAACCTAGAAAGGTACAACGACCATCGGGCTTGCCGACGATTAAGGTGTTGCGCCTTTCGGAAGTATTCCAAATTCTTATGGTCGGTCCAGATCTCGACCGGATGCGCGGCGCCCTCGAGGGAATGCCGATACTCCTCGAGTGCGCGGATGATCGCGAGCATCTCCTTGTTGTGAATCTCGTAGTTGCGCTGGACATCATTTAAGCTTTTGGGATAGAACGCTACAGGGTGCCACTTCCCGTCCGGGGCGGATTGTTGTGAAAGAACCGCCCCTGTCGCATAATCTGAGCTGTCTGCTTCTAGTCGGAAAGGCCGAGAGTCGTCCGGGATCGCTAAGACGGGCTCTGATACGACCGCGTTCTTGATGGCTTGAAAGGCGGCGGCTTCGGCGTCTCCCCAGGTCCATTTCTGGTCTTTCTTGGTGAGCGCGAAGAGAGGTTGCGCTAGGGCCGAGAAATCCCGAATGAACCTGCGGTAGAAATTAGCAAACCCCAGGAACTGCTGAACGTCCTTCTTGTTTTCGGGCAGAGGCCATGCGGAAACTCCGGCGACCTTAACGGGATCCATTTCGACGTGGTTGTGCGAGATAATGACCCCCAAGTACTCGATTGACGATTTCTCAAAGTCGCACTTTTTCTTGCGAAGGTACAACTTGTGCATTCGGAGTCGCCGAAGGACCTCGCGGACGATCTCGCGGTGCTTACGGAGGTCCAAATGTGCAATGAGGATGTCGTCAAGGTAGATCATAATGTTGCCTGAAAGAATGAGATCCTGGAAAATGTCATTTATCATCGTTTGGAACGTCGCAGGGGAGTTTGTCAGTGTAAGGGCAACCTCACGAGGCTCGAAATCAGAGTCCTGAGCAGAGGGGGAATCCTTAGTGAAACTACTACAACAGGAAGGGACGCTACAGACTCACCTGAGCAGAGGGGGAATCCTTAGAGAACAAGCCAAGGAGCCCTCTGCTCAGGTGCACTACTATATACTAGTGACCGGAGTAATGATAGAGTGACTGCATAGCGACGAACAACGCATGGGAGAAGTCAGGTGTCGCCAATGGACCCTAGGTGAGTGTCGAGTAGCCCTCGAAGCTCCGGAGAGGCAGGTTTGGGACCATGATGCCAAGGGAAGAGCCCAGGCATCCTTAGAAGGCCCAGGAAGGGCTTCGGGGGGTCCAGACTGCCTCTGGGCGTCTCCGCTTGTGACCGTGACCGTGACAACCGGAATCGGAATCGGAATCGGAATCGGAATCGATTCCGGGTGTGTGACCGTGACGTGACGGCCGGAAACGGAGAGGGGGGGCATGGAGCGGAGAGGGAAGGAGTCGGTCTAGCCCAAGGGCCAGGGAGTGTCGGAAAGGACCAATAGGAATGGCGGCCAGCCATGACCACTGGAGGGTAGCGACAGGAGGGTCACTCGGAGACGTCCCCCGGACGTCTCCAGAGAGGTGGAGGTGTGAGGGCGTGCAGCCTGGGGCGCTGCAGTAGGCACGAGCCTTAACGGCAGTAGGCCTCACCCAAAGGAAGACCCGATGACGGGGGCCGTGGTGGCGGAGTGGGGGCGGAGCCATGGCGGGGCTCAGCCATCCGAACGTAAGCCCGAATGCTGACATAGGTTGGGGACACCCAAGAGGTCCAACGGGTAGAGGTTGCAGGGAGACCTTGATGAGCGACAGCCCAGAGAGGCTATAAGGCCCTAGGCTCGAGGTCTCAGAGGAAAGTGGTGCGGCCACATCCGGAGAGGTCTCCGATGGCATTAGTGATCCCTGATGGTGACTCCGGAGAGACTCCCAGAAAGGGGTGGCCATGGGAGTTGGAGGTTGGGGACCACTGGATGCGGGATGTGGTGGGAGAAGTGGAGGAGGAGCGTCAGGGTGCAGGAATACAGAGGCTCGGGTGGAGACACGGAGACGCAAGTGGAGACGCGGAGACGTGAGCGGAGACGCGGCGCTTGATGGGATCAAGTGACGGCATCAGGGTTTCCCCTGACATCATCCCCCCTTCAAGCTGCGTCGCCCCGATGCAGGAAAAAAAATCGGGGGTCACTGAGCTCGACCTCCGGAGTCCCTTGTCCTCCGGTGGTCAAGCTCCTGTCTCCGGCGACGTCCAGAGACTGTCCGTCTCCAAGAGCCAGTGTGACATTACCTTGGCGTTGCTCCAGTGATTGCTGCTGCCAAGGTCAACCTGCGGAGTACTTGCGTTCTCCAGTGGTTGAGCTCCCATATTCGGAGATGCCCCGGAGACCTGCAGTTCCGGTGCCTCTCCGAGAGATGGTGCAACTACACCTTTGCGTAGCCGGTGTGCGCCCCTTGCGCTCTGGTCGCATGTTGCTCCAGGAGGGTCCTCT